CAGATTCTGCTAGAAAATTTTTATCAGTTTACATTCTTACCATCAAATCGTCATTTCTTACATAGAACATCCTCATCCCTTGCCAGAGGACTATCACTGGTATATCATCACTTGTTTCTAAGTTTTTGTTTCTTTTTTTTTTTTTTTGAGACGAAGCCTCAAGCTATCCCCCCTGGGTAGACTGCCATGGCATCACGCTCACAGCAACCTCCAACTCCTGGGCTCAAGCGAGTCTCCTGCCTCAGCCTCCCAAGTAGCTGGGACTACAGGCACCCGCCACAATGCCTGGCCATTTTTTGGTTGCAGCCGTCATTGTTGTTTGGCAGGCCCAGGCTGGGGATTCGAACCTGCCACCTTAGGTGTATGTGGCTGGCGCCTTAGCCGCTTGAGCCACAAGCACCGAGCCTAAGTTTTTGTTTCTTGTTATGTTAGAATTAGGAGTTACTTCCTAATCCATATATTATTTTTGATACCTGGTATGAGGAAAGGCTCAAAGTACATTCTCCCCCCACCCCACCCCACTATTTAACCATTTACTCAGCTTGTTAAAATAAGATTTCCCAGCTCAGCGCCTGTAGCTCAAGCAGCTAGGGCACCAGCCACATACATAGGAGCTGGTGGGTTCAAATCCAGCCCAGCCCACCAAACTATAACCAAAAAATAGCTGGGCATTGTGGCAGTCACCTGTAATCCCAACTATTTGGGAGGCTGAGGCAAGAGGATCACTTAAGCCCAAGAGTTTGAGGTTGCTGTGAGCTGTGACGTCATGGCACTGTACCCAGGGCGAGTAGAAAAAAAATTTCCCTTTCCCCACTCATTTATTTATAATGTTCTCTTCTCCTATACTGATTTATAGTTTCTTCATAATTCTAAAATCCAAAATGTTCTGAAAACCAGGTTTTCCCTTATGTTTAACAACAAACAACTCATTTCCTGGCAAAACCTGACCTGAGATGACATGGGAGGTGTTTACAGTTTTATATCATTTGGTGTGAAAATTCATAGTTTACTATAAAAGTAATTTTTGATTACTATTTCAGACTCAACTGGTAGTATATCGTACATATACATTGAGTTATTTTTTAGATCTCCAAAATTCTGAATTATGAACCCTAGCTAACCCAAAGGTATATGATCAAGGATTGGGGCCCATATTAAATTTATATACAGAATACATACAGTATATGATGACATATAAATCAGTATATGCTATTGATTAAATCATTATAGATTTATGTCTATTACTACTATTGTTTTTTAAGTATTCACCTCTTTTATGCTACTTGATTAACTTTAGAATCACATTTCAAATTAAAATTGTATTGGAATACTGTTTAGAAGTCCATTAGTGAGGCCAGGCGTGGTGGCTCATGCCTGTAATCCTAGCACTCTGGGAGGCTGAGCTGGGTGGATCACTTGAGCTCAGGAATTCCAGACCAGCCTGAGCAAGAGCAAGAACCCACCTCTTAAAAAATTTTAATAGCTGGGCATTCTGGTGGGTGCCTGTAATCCCAGCAACTTGGGAGGCTGAGGCAAGAGGATCACTTGAGCCCAAGAGTTTGAGGTTGCTGTGAGCTAAGACACGATGGCACTCTACCAGGAGTGACAAAGTGAGACTGTCTCCAAAAAAAATGTAGAACTCATCCTACTGGTATTTACTTTTATTTAGTAGATATATTTCACCCCTACTTTTCCTCCTTAACCAGCTCATCCCTAGCCATTTAAAAAATGAAAAACTCACATACCTGCTTTTTTTTTTTTTTTTTTTGAGACAGTGTCTTGCTATTGCCCAGGCTATTCTGGAACTCCTGAACAGTAGTAGTCCTCCCAACTCAGCCTCCTGAGTAGCTGGGACTACACATACAGGCTACCTTGCCTGGCTAAGCTCTTGTCATTTTTGGAGCAAACAGCAGAGTGCGCTGTTTTCTAACCTCTTATGTGGCTGAGACACTTTATCAGAAAATAAGGACTAAGGCTACCTATTTTTCTACCTACATGTTTGAGGGATTTTTTTTTTTACAATTTTTGGCTGGGGCTGGGTTTGAACCCACCACCTCCAATATATGGGGCCAGTGCCCTACTCCTTTGAGCCACAGGCACCACCCTGTTTGAGGGATTTTTTTTCCCCTTAATATATTTTCTTCAGAATATCTTAATATGTATGATTTTCTCCTAACATTGCCAATAAAATAATGCTCTTTAAAATCTTGCCACTTAGGCGGGGTGCAATGGTTCACACCTATAATCCGTACTCTGAGAAACTGAGGCGGTTGGATCACTTGAGCTCAGGAGTTGGAGACTAGCCTGAGCAAGAACAAGACTCCATCTCTACTAAAAACTGAAAAACTAGCCAGGTATAGTAAGAACTTTAAATTGAACCAGGACCTCAGTAAAATACAGGAAATCAAGACTACGTCACAATACTTCAGTGAAGATAAGTAGAATACTGCACCCAAACGTCAGTGGTCTGCAGAATGTGTGGAAGCACTTGGATAATTCTGGAAAAAAATCATTATTTTTCATGTTTAATGATTATTTTTAATCATTAAATCATTATAGATTTATGTCTATTACTACTATTGTTTTTTTAAGTATTCACCTCTTTTATGCTACTTGATTAACTTTAGAATCACATTTCAAATTAAAATTGTATTGGAATACTGTTTAGAAGTCCATTAGTGAGGCCAGGCATGGTGGCTCACGCCTGTAATGATTTACACCTATATTCCCAGCCACTTAGGAGGCTGAGGTGAGACAATTGCTCGAGCTCAAGAGTTTGAGGTTGCTGAGAGCCATGATGCCATGGCACTCTACCCAGAGTGACAAAGTGAAACTCTGTCTCAAAAAAATAAAAATAAAATCTTCCCACTTAGGGGAGGCTCACACTTGTAATCCTAGAACTCTGGGAGGCAACAGAGTGAGACTGTCTCAAAAAATTTTTTTTTAAAAATCTTCCCACTTAGGACTTAAAAATCTGAATTTTCTTATTATCTTCATTTTTTTTTTCTTTTGAGACAGATTCTCACTCTGTTGGCCGGGTGTCATCATAGCTCATAGCAACCTCAAACCCTTGGGCTCAAGCCATCCTTATGCCTTGCTTCCTGAGTTGCTGGGACTACATGTACCCACCACATCTGGCTAGTTTTTATCTCACTCTTGGCTTGGGCTGGTCTTGAACTCCTGAGCTCAAGCAATGCACCTGCCTCAGTCTCCCAGAGTGCTTTGATTACAGACATGAGCCATATCTTTATATTCTCTATTATTTTGGGTTATTGTTTTAAGAAACACCATTTATTTGTTCTGTATCTTTTCTCTCTTCCTCCATTTTTTTCCAGAATTATCCAAGTGTTTCCACACATTCTGCAGACCACTGACGTTTGGGTGCAGTATTCTACTTATCTTCACTGAAGTATTGTGACGTAGTCTTGATTTCCTGTATTTTACCTAGGTCCTGGTTCAATTTAAAGTTCTTAAAGGTTGGGGCACATTTATTGAAATTATGGAAAGGTAAAGTAACGCATAGTAAGTTAGTTAAGAACTTGGGCTCTGGCTCGGTGCCTGTGGCTCAAGCGGCTAAGGCGCCAGCCACGTACACCTGAGCTGGCAGGTTCAAATCCAGCCCAGGCCCGCCAAACAACGATGGCAGCAACCAAAAAATAGCTGGGCGTTGTGGCAGGCGCCTGTAGTCCCAGCTCCTTGGGAGGTGGAGGCAGGAAACTCACTTGAGCCCAGGAGTTGGAGGTTACTGTGAGCTATGATGCCACAGCACTCTACCCAGGGTGACAGCTTGAGGCTCTGTCTCAAAAAAAAAAAAGAACTTGGGCTCTGGAGCTAGACAAACTTGAATTTACCTCAGCTATTTGTTTAGCTATTTTATGCCTGAATTTTCTTATCTGTAAAATGGAGATAATAATGGTACCTACTTTTAGAAGTTTTTATGATTACATGCATTAATATAAACAAAGCTTTATACTTAGAACATGAGCCTCAAAAGTTAGATGTGATTGCCACAGATATTTTTGAAAATACTCTTCCTCTGAATCCAAAAAATAATTGTTCTTTTTATATATTGTCATTTTTGTTCCTTCAAAGATAAAGATCCAGGGCTGGGCCCAGTGGCTGATACCTGTAATCCTAGCACTCTGGGAGGCTGAAGCGGGTGGACTACCTGAGCAATCTAAAAATAACTGGTCATTGTAGTGGGTGCCTATAGTCCCAGCTACTCAGGAGGCTGAGGTAAGAGGATCACTCGAGCCCAAGAGTTTGAGGTTGCTATGAGCTGTGATGCCAGAGCACTCTACCGAGAGTGACTAAAACTCTATCTCAAAAAAAAAAAAAAAATGTATACACAATGACCTTTGCTGCCCTCTCTCCTCCCACCCCCTAAGTGGGGGGGTTTCTCTTTTCAGAGCCACAGTTGAAGTTGATGTGCACAGCCTCTGCCTATAGTGTTTTAAAATTTTTCCAGATGAAATGTAGTGTACTGTACTCATACTGTGGTCTGTCCTGCTGAAGAACAGGCAGTCTCTCCCTTGTTTACAAATTCATTCAGCTTATCAGTTTCCACCATTTTTCCAAATTATTGTGCTGCATTAGTAATCCAGAGCCCAAGCCCCAGGCTTTTCTCAGTTCGACCTCCCTGTCCGCCCCACCCTGAATGTGGAGGTTATGAGAAGTTGCCCCCACACTAGACCATGGGCTTCAAGTATATTTCCAATACTACTGTGCACAATCTGTCGGTGGTTTCTGCTAGTTTGTCCAAAATAGCTCTTAAAGAGTCTACTAAATATAAATTACCTACAAATAACATTCATTTCACCTTCAACAGTCCCCATAAACAAATCATTTTTTCCATCAAATGGAAGTTTCTACCTACTCAAGTCACTAATATTGCACTGATATTTCAAATAGTATATACTCAATGTTTTAAAAAGTAGCAAACTTTTAAAGATTACAAAAAATAATTAAAGCAAAGAAGTTTATTTTTAATTTCAAAAGGCTTTAGGATTTGTTCATTTTTATTTAAAAAAGTTAAAATAGAAAACAATTAAAAAATGAAACAGCTTATTTTAACTATAAGCTGACCCCAGGTAAATCGCACAGTGTGGGTTATCTCCTTACGCAGCAGAGGGTGTCTACAGCTTCTCAATTAGCAGAGCAGAGGCACCTCCTCCTCCGTTGCAAATACTGGCAAGACCATATTCTCCTTGCTTCAAGGTATGAGTCAAATGAACAACAATCCTGGCTCCGGACATCCTAGGATTAAGAAAGCATTTTGGTTTTTTAATGAAGTACAGAATTTGAGTACAAATTAAATTCGTGAAAACCTTATTAACCATTATAACTAAATGAACTACTTTTCTTAAAACTTGAGACTTGTTTCAGGGAGAGTTACAGCTCTTTTAAAAGCCCGAGCATAGACTTTAGTGCTAAGGTTATTTTTCTTCAGCATAAAACACTATTAGGTTTCAAGCAACAGATGTGACCGATTTCTGAGTTCAGTGCTGGATACCCATCTATCAGAAGTGGTTTTTGCCTTATGAAGGGTGAGTGGGGAGGGAAAACTGTGACAACAAGAGCAATAGGAATTAGGAAGCACTTTAAGTTCAGACAGGCGTACAAAGGCAGCTATTGACCGAGATAGTGATTTATGATTTTACCTACCCAATTGGATGACCCAGGGAAACAGCTCCTCCATTGATATTCACTTTCTGGGGGTCGATCTCCAGCATTTTAATGTTTGCCAGTACAACCAAACTAAAGGCTTCATTTACTTCCCACATTGTTATATCTTCTTTTTTCAATCCTGCATCTTTAAGAACCTAAAATGTTTTAAAAGACAAATGATGTTCAAACAGCAACAACTTACTTTCATTGTTTCTGTGAAATTCAACAATTTTGGGGTATATTTCTCTTTGATGATTATTTAAATATAGAGGTTATTAGCTTCAGGTAGAAGAAGCCCTTTAAATTCTCATCTTACTGCATTATAATCAAAGAATTTTGTTTGTATTACTTTGTGTCTGTTTTGAGGAGATAAAGAACATTCCACAGATACTTGAAAAGAAGGTATATTTTCTCTTTGGGGATATATGATGTTTTCTATTACTGTAAAGATCTGCTGGGTGATGTGGCTGTGCCTACAGGTGTCTATCAGCCCTCTTGGCTTATGTGTTCTTGGCATCCATTGTTCTGCAGTTTCTACTTTATAGAAGTTGCTGTGGGGTTATCTGAGACACATTTATTATATCTCCATGGTAAATCATGTATTTAAAGTCTTTCACCATATAATCTGCTTTGTTTCTGGCAGATCCTCAGCTATGCAGGAAGGTGTTTTTTGTGCTAGTGATTATCCTTACATTAATATGTTTATAAAACATTGCTAGTTCTCTTTTTCTTTAGAGAAGAAATTTTGTTGTAGTCAACAATAAGCATGAAACTCTTCCTCCTCCTTCTCTACTAGTGAGCTAAAGTAGCTTTCTAAGCTGTACAGCTCATATACCTTCCTCTGTTCCAACAGCACAAGACAAAATATGGTACCCAGATATATCTACTTTTGTAGCCGTCAGGGTCAGGAACTGGCTTCCACCTTTAGAACCCAGAACTACTTAGCAAAGTATCACAAGAATGGAAGAAAAAGTATCCAATGTACACACCCCTATTATGAAACTAATTTATACCTTTTATATGAAAGCTATAACCTAATAACAGCCTAAGAATACGGGGAGAGAGAAGGGAGGGGGAATGGGTGGAGGGAGGGGGATTGAAGGGATCACTTCTGAGGTTTATCTTACAAGGGTACAAGTGAATCTTTCTAAGAGTAGAATGTGAATGTTTTAAAATAATAACTAAGAAAATGACATAAAGGGTATGTTAACCAGTTTGATGGAAGTGTTTTGGATTGTGTGTGAAAACCCCATACTGTACTCCAGAAGTGCATTAATGTACATAGTTACCATTCAATAAAAAAAAAAGAACCCAGAACTATTTATTCTTGCTTCCTAATGTGATGCATTTACTTCCAGAAGTTATATACTTCTGTAACTTTTTATTTATTTATTTTTTGAGATGGAGTCTCACTTTGTCACCCTCAGTAGAGTGCTGTGGCATCACAGCTCTCAGCAACCTCAAACTCTTGGGCTCAAGCGATTCTCTTGTCTCAGCCTCCCAAGTAGCTGGCACTACGGGTGCCTACCACAATGCCCGGCTATTTCTTGTTGCAGTTATCGTTGTTTAGCAGGCCCAGGCTGAGTTTGAACCTGCCAGCCTTGGTATATGTGGCTGGTGCCATAACCACTGTGCTACAGGCGCCAAACCTACTTCTGTCACTTTCTGAGATCAACCAACTCTGGACAAATCATTACCCACCACCCATTCCCCACTGTTTCTGATCCTTCTTCCCTACTAATTTTGCTCTTTTTTTAATCAGGGTGTGCTCTTAGAAATTCACTTTCAAGGAATATCTGCTGAGACTTACGAGAACCCTGGACTCCAAACTTCCTCAGCACTCTGTCTTTTTCTGTGACCCCTTAGCAATTTCCCACAGAGATTTGGTTATTTCTGCCTTTGACAGCACCTGTGACAATTTGGAATATGTAGGTTTTCTGTCTCTAGTTTTACTATTTACTCTAAACCCTGCTGCTGGCAATCCCCTTTAGGATGAAGACTTCTAGAAATGACTATTTGCTTTGAATTTTAGATTGGAATCACCAGCCTCCCCTTTGTGGTTACCACATCTAGTGTGTGAGTTCAGCATCATACTAACAAGTAATTTAGTTACGTGGTTTTTATCTGTTCTACTGAAGATCTGTTTGTAGGCTTTTTGTTGTTGTCCTTGTTGCTTTTATTATTTTCAGACATGGAAAGATTCAAAACTAAGCTATCTCTCTGGTATAGCAGATGAATAATTTTGAAATATAAAAACTTAGTACATGGTATAAGCAAACCAGAAGTTGGCATAATGGAATCCTGGGCCACAGCCCATCACTTTGTTCTCACCTTGGGTACAGCATATGCAGGTGCAACTGGAAAATCAATAGGTTCTACAGCAGCATCAGCAAACGCTGTAAAAAAATAGGTAGTTAACATCTTTATAATCACCCAAAGCAATATCTGTTATATGTAGTGTATAAAAGCCAAGTTAATCCATCATATGCAAGTTTCCTAATCCCTATGTGTAAATACATTTCTTCCTGTTCAAAGATTCTGCTCTTTATAAAATTCAGCCAGTCATCTAGGACACTGATTTTTGTTGAAAGGAGACTCAGGAGAATTTGCCTATAGGAACACCGGCCCTGCCTAAAAAATGTTTCTTTTAAGACTTCAAAACTTCACTACCTGTGTCTAGAGAGATACCTGATTGTCACAACAGGTCGAATGCCACTGACAGCTGCTAAACATCCTACAATATACACAACAGCCCTACAAGGAATTATTTAGTATGAAACGTCAATGGCGGCTGAGGTGAAGAAATCATAATGTGGACAGCGCCTGTGGCTCAGTGAATAGGGAGCCAGTCTCACATACCGAGGGTGGTAAGTTCAAACCCAGCCCTGGCCAAACTCCAACAAAAAAGAAAAAAAGAAATCATAATGTAAGCTAAGAATCAACATGATGTTAGAAAGTTTTCATAAAGTAATAAATACCATTTTTTTAAATCCTTAAGAAGAAGGGAAAACAGACTTAGTTAAAAATAGGCCAAAGGAGATTGAAAGGTTTACCCAAGGCCACATAGTTAAGAAAAACCAGAACCCCTAGATTTCATTATTCGTAGACTCCTGATCCCACATTTTTTTGTATTCTACCTGGCTGACCTCTGGGATACAGCATGTACTTCACTTTCCCCCACTCATCATATAGAATAGGAAAAGCTTTTTAAAGCTTACTCATATGTAAAACAACATATAACAAAAACATTAAAGGAGTTTCCATCTCAACTGAACACAAGTCAGTTAAATTCTGTCACAAAATACACAGACAAAAGTAACCAGCTTCCAACTTCAGTATTCCAACAAGGAAACTCAACTTCAGGAACAGTTTACAGATGTTCAGAAATAAACAAGGGCAGAACATTTTCTACCTGCGATTCTCGCCAGTGGCTTCACATTGAGTCTCTTGGCTGCATCTGCAGTCATCAGAACCACAGCAGCTGCGCCGTCGTTCAGTGTGCTGGCGTTGGCAGCTGTGACTGTGCCTGAAAGCAACAGTGAGCATGAAGTCAAATCACACCTTCTTCACACGGAATTCATTTGGTTCAATTTAACACATTAACTGTCACTTAGTTGTATGTAACTCACGCTAGTTTTGAGCCTGGGGCCTCCTGAAGCATACGTAACTCATTCATCTTTTTACATAGGTGCTGCCACAGGGGCCCCAAGGAAAAAGTTTTGATTTCTAGTGTGGGAGTCAATGTGTTAACATACACCTACAGAGGGTTGCCTGGGTTGCTAAATATATAAAGAAATCACACATATGGGTGGAGATAATGCCTGCCCTTGGGAAGCATGTACATAGCTAAAGACAGAGAAAGCCTTTTTGTGTTAGTTTTTAGTAATAGTTTTCTGAAAGCCACCCCAGGAGCACATACATAATGGCACTAGGTAAATGGTGGTTTGCCACGCTTAAAAGATAGTTCGGGGTGGGGTGGAAATAAAAAAAAAAAAAAAGATAGTTCACTTTTTTCTCTAGAGTCTAACGCTGCTTATCCAAAATAGAGCAGATACCCACTGTATTTTTCAAATCACTACCAAAATCAGATCTGTCTAGAATCTCTGGGAGTTAAATGTCAACAAATATTAAAACCCACGGTACCAGGAGAATTTTATGGTGAATTATGTCAGTAAAACTGGGGTCTTTTTAAATGTCAATAAAGGCCATACTGCTACATGTGAAGAACTGAATCTCATAGTCATGTTCCACAGTCTCTTCCCAGGATTTATATATTGAAGGTATAAATAAATTTTCAAAATTTTAAATACATTCTGAAGTAATCTCACTTGAGTATAATATACTGAAAATGGTTTTTTTCTTCTTTTTTTTTTTTTTTTGAGAAGAGTCTCACTTTGTCGCCCTGGGTAGAGTGCTGTGCTGTCACAGCTCACAGCAAACTCAAATTCTTGGCCTCAGGTGATTCTTTGGCTTCAGCCTCCCAAGTATCTGGAACTACAGGCACCCACTACAATGCCCAGCTGGTTTTTTTGTAGTTGTTTTTTAGTAGGCCTGGGCCGGGTTCAAACCCACCAGTCTCAGTGCATATGACCAAAGCCCTAATCACTGAGGTATGAGCACTGAACCTAATACACAGAAAATGTTAAGTAACACCTGTTGGGGTGTCTAACCTGTTGTGGTTTTTTTTTCTTTTTTCTGCTGAACACTAGAAGAATAAGAGTTGTCTTACAGACCAGGCACAATGTCTTGGGGAGGCTTCATCCTATCACTCTGGGAGGCTGAGGCAGGTGGATTGACTGAGGTCAGGAGTTCAAGACTAGCCTGAGCAAAAGAAACCTCTGTAGTCCCAGCTACTTGGGAGGCTAAGGGAAGAGGATCACTCAAACCCAGGAGTTTGAGGTTGCTATGAGCTATGATGCCACTTCACTCTACCCAGGGCAACAGAGCAGATTCTGTCTCAGAAAAAAAAGTTGTCTTGGGCCACACATTAAATACACAAACACTAAGGAAAGCTGATTAGCAAAAACAGTCCTCACAAAATTAGCATGCAGGCTGCAGGTTGGACAACCCTGACCTAGATGATTTCTAGAATTACTTTTTTTTAAATCCTTAGGCAATTCCGAAGTAGAAATGGTGTAGTGACTCAATTTTTTCTTACTCTTCATTTCTTAACACTAACCATTTTCTTTCTGGAAAACTGTCTTCAGCTTTGGAACTTTGCTAAAATCAACACGTTTATATTCTTCATCTTCTTGCACCACGACATCTGGTTTACCTAAAACGAAAGTATTTTAAGTAATCACCACCTAGACAATTAGTCATTACAGCAAAAAGCTTCTGCACACGGTGCCTGGCAGCACCCGGAAGAAACACTAACCTAGAATCCACTGCCCGTTCCCTCTATTATGTTACCGTCCTACAGAAGAGCTTGTTAAGTAGCTTAACAAAATTTAAATCTTCTACACATCCACATCCCCTTCTCTTCTCTCTCAGGCCCCTTGTATAACTCTCGATCACTCTCCTGACCCCAGGTGTAGATGTCTGATTTATGTGGGGTCAGCTCAGGATTCTAGTATTCTATCCTCCAGAGTGTAGTGATCATTTCTATAGTAGGTATGTAACTACACCAAGTTAATAAGGCTTTACTATAGATTGTTCTGCTGGAATTGTTGAAGACACTCCTTTCCTCCTTGAGGGAGAACCCTGCCACTTGAATATGACCCTAGAGATGGAAGCAGCAACTTCAGAAAGCCTAAGGGAAGAAAGCACAGAAGCTGCAGGGATTGGGGGGGGGGGGGGCACATCCCACCAGAGCTGAGCACCAGCTCCAATCCTTGGAGCTCGCAGGGTGGACTGGTTGCTGCTGTTCATCCTTCAGTTCTGGGATGTACCCCCCAGTACCCTTCCAATGAATTCCCTTTTTTACTTAAGCTACTATGTTGTTGCCATTTATGTGAGTTTTAATAAATGTATCTCTCAAATTAATATGCTTAGTGGATCTTTAATCAGACAGAAATCTGACATTAAATTGAGTTTAAATATATTACCTCTGAACTGGCACCTCTTCCCTTTAGTAACCATAAGCAGAAGCATCAGTGTCCTCAGTTGAAATGAACAAAGATAATAAGGCCCTAATTTAAAATGTAAACAATTCAGCAACATAAAATCTATTAAAAGTTCAAATGTACCTTTTACTGTAATTGTGACGGGAATAACTTCATTTCCAAATTTTCCAGCGTCCCATGCTGCTCTGCTTCTGGTGTAAGAATTAATAGCGTAAGTGTCCTGTTCCTCTCGTGTAATATTCAGCTTCTTTGCTGTGTTCTCAGCACAGTTGCCCTGATAAAAGTTGGAGTAATTTAAAATTAGTTAAGTCATTTTAAAAATATCTATTAACTTAAAAAATAATAGTTAGCACGAGTTTTCTTAAAGTATACTTAAAACATGTCTTTTCTTCAAATACTTGAATTAGCCCAGAAGTTGCTATTTGAGAAGTCAGAAAATGCCCTATTCAAGTGTAGGGCAATTTTATTAACAACTGAGCCCCACTCTTTCAACAGGCATGGAAAAACGTTTCCTAAAATGGCTAAAACCAACATTTAGAAAGCCCGCCCTTCAGTTTGTGAAAGACACGGATCGAGCACATGCAAGTCGCAGCACTTCTCCATCGCATTTACCATGTGAATCTGATTGTAGACATCGGTCAGCCCATCTTTTACAATCAGATCTTCAAGCTTCACGCCACCATACGGTGTTGCTCCTCTGTTCATGACATACGGGACATTGGACATGCTCTCCATCCCACCTGCCACCATCACATCCTGCTCAGCAACACAGAGGAAACCAGTGTCGATTCAAATAGCTGCAAACCCTTTACCTACCCGGCTACCAACAAACATATTCCACATACATCGATTGACCAACTGAGATAGAGTCTCACTCGGTCACACTGGGTAGAGTGCCGTGGCACCATAGCTCACAACAGTTTAAATACTTGGGCTCAAGCGATCCTCTTGCCTCAGCCTCCTGAGTAGCTGGGACTATAGGCACTGGCCACTGTGCCTGGTACCAACAACCAAATATTCTACATGAATTGATTGACTGAGACAAAGTCTCAGGCTGTCACCCCAGGTAGTGTCTGGCATCACAGCCCACTTAAAATTCTTGGGTTCAGGGCGGCACCTGTGGCTCAAAGGAGTAGGGCACCAGCTCCATATGCCAGAGGTGGTAGGTTCAAACCCAACCCTGGCCAAAAAACTACAAAAAAAATAAATTCTTGGGCTCAAACAATTCTCTTGCCTCAACTTCTTGAGTAGCTATGCCCAGTTTTTCCTATTTTTAGTAGAGACAGGATCTCACTCTTGCTCAGGCTGGTCTTGAACTCCTGAGCTCAAGCAATATACCTGCTTCAGCCTCCCAGAGTGCTGGGATTACAGGTGTAAGCCTCTATGCCCAGCCTGTACATGAATTTATTAAACATTTGTTACACAGGGAATATAGAGAGTACCCTCTGTATCACCTGACTATGATCAAAGGAAATGAATGGCCTAAAAATGTGTAATGAGGACAGGCACAGTGGCCCATGCCTGTAATCCTAACACTGAGAGAGGCTGAGGTGGGAGGATCACATGAGTTTAAGACCAGCTTGAGCAAGAGCAAGACCGTATCTCAGCTTGGTGCCTGTGGCTCAAGCGGCTAAGGCGCCAGCCACGTACACCTAAGGTGGCGGGTTC